GTTTGATTCTACGGCTTTAATTTGATTGACATAAACTGTAGAATGTATTTTAGCTTAGGCCACAATTCTCTTCGCTAGAAGGAATGAAGTGAAAAAAATTGTTTTATTGCATTTAGAAGAAATCGAGAAGATATTCCAGAGAAGAATTAGTTAGAAATCTACTTAATTTGATTAACTTTGATTCTACGGCTTTAATTTGATTTAACAGTGGAAAAACTTTTTTTCTTTTAAACGATGTAACGTGTGTCGTAATTTTCGCTACCGACGAAACGTTAGATATGTTCCATTTTCGTCCCGGGTTTTACATATCACGCAGGATTGGAAAGATGAAATTCTATATCTGCAATTCGAATAAAAGTCACACTCACTGTATGTACTTTCCTATGTCGATGAATATCACGATGATAGCTTTGAGCCTGAGAACATTTCGCAGAAAGACTTGTCTCTTGAATTTCACCTCCGGCTCCATGTATTTCTTTTCCTTCGGATTAAGCGTCCGAATGCACGCCCTGAATATGTTCCATATAACAGTCATTTCCAAAAGAATCTGCGGATAGTTGCCCTTGGCGCGGCCCCGCAATTTCTTGTCCTTCAGCGCGTACCATCGTTTCTCGCCGTTACGAATTTTCAACAACGGTACCGCCACCCTCCCCAGAAACTCCACCTTGTGATCTCGATCCTCGTCGTACACCGTCACTTCCAGGACGGAATTGATGTCCTTTACATTACTATTGGAACAACCAAATTTATTCTCAATTACGTTTCAATGGCGCGAGCTGATGATCCTTGCGTCATGTCCGAATTCTAGCTATTACCTACTCGTGAAAAATGGAAAAATCTCATTACACGTATCTCAGTCATATAATATTATATCTAATTATGAGATCCAATTCTAAAAATCATCAGATCCTCAGAGACTTGACACTTTCCTTGAATGTTCGACGTTATCTATGTCGATCTAACTAAATCTCTAATTAAATGTCCCACGAGAACACAATTAGATCTCAATAGATAATAACATTAAATATTCAATAAAAGTGTCAGACCTTTAAAGATCTGATGATTTTAGAATTGGACATAATTAGATATTACAGATTCAGACACATATAACGAGGTATTTCCATTTTTTCCCTAGAATAGTAGAGAAAAGTCCCCTATCATATTGGGCTCCTAATATGGGACAGCAGGGTTTCTGCTAAATGAATAGGCGTCACTTTTGGCTCCACCGTGAATTTATTGCCCTTGGAGTGAAATCCGTTTAGTGGAAAATTGATTGTTAGATTGTGTAATTGTTACGAAAAAGATTTGCGATTGAATTTGGAGGTTGAAAACCTACTGTCTCATATTAGAATCCTATCTCATAATAGAAGACCTTTCTGCGTGTATCAATAACTTCATTAAAAATAATTAATGACATTGTGCTTAAGACGTAACTCACAAAGTGAAAATTTTCTGCCAATTCGGCGCGAGTGTCTTGTATTCCGTTTGCGTTTGTAATCTAGAATTCACGAGTTCCAGAACGCAGAAGGGGTCGCTTTTACCACCGAGATCGGCAGCTGCGAGACCCTGTGCACGGTAAACCTGCAAAGAACATGAACTAATCTAAAAACAGACATCCGTAATATGAAATTTATTAAAACGTTCGTTTATTTTATTTTAGATTATCGATGTAAAAGCCTTGCGTGAAAAATGATTTTCAAGCCTTTTTATTAAATTATTATAAATAAAAAGACGCGGATAAATTTATGAAGCAATTATTTTACTTTGATTATTATTTAATATCGAAGTAATTTTTAGAACAATTTACATAACAATTAAAATGGTAGAGCAATTATTTTTACTTCGAGTATTATTTCATTTCGAAGTAATTGTTATTAATAAAACTAATTTCATCACTGGCTTCAATACATTTTTAACAAAAGCACGAATTTTGCTCGTGTTAGAAGGTTATATACAAAGCAATTAGACGTTAAATGTTAATTTAATTGCGTAACTAACAATACTAATACAGTTTCAACACAGCCTAAATCATATTTGTTTCTCGTATTATGACATTGAAACTGATTAAAGAAGTTCTTTCGAATTATTAACATCTTAACTCGAAAAAGCAGCGCATTTTTTATTCACTTTAAAAAGTCGATAAATAAGCACGTCATAATATTGAAAAATAAAGCTTGTCCTTTTGCTTTTGCGCAACGACGATATGCAAAGTACATTGTATATAATTTGCCAAAATTATTATTTCATAACATAAATGAATCTTTTGCTAAAATTATTATACAGCGCAATCCACGAACTAGATCGCCAAACTTTGACAATTTTACCGCGGACAAAGGCAATTACAGTTTAACAAAGATGAATTTTTAGTCCTATAAATATGTTAGAACCTTCCTTCGTTTTCGACGTGAGCGGAATGGCTCAAAATTTGGTGACCTATTTCGGGAGCGTCCTGCACATTAATTATTACCATTCTTACTTCGCGCTCTCTCGACATTCTAACAAAGTTGACACTGCAACGTTGGCACGTTAACGCGCTAACGCATGAGCAACCAATACCAATCGTTTCTAATTACCTTGACTGTCAGGTGACCTACGTCGCGTACCCTCTTTAAAGTGTTCATAACGGAGTATCGTTGGACTAATTGTGCGTGTTCCACCGGCGTTTCCTCGTGCGCGGCCAAATCGCTGATTGTCTCGCTGGCTGTGGTGCCGCTTATCGTCAAGAGTAAAAAGATATCGCCCGAGCCGTCCTCGAGCTCGCGCGACAGCCGATGCGTGGTCTCTCGCTCGAGAGTCGCCAGATCGATCACCGTCTTGCCCATCAGATCGTCCTGATGCTTATCTCTGTCCCAAACCGTCACCTCCAACTCCTGTCCCAGATACGGGTCCTCGTAGAGGTGGAGGTCAAACTGCTCCAGCCAAATTGGATTCAACGTTTTGTTAATGACTTTCGACTTGTACTTCTCCGTGCCCAGTCTGCAAATCAGGATGCAGGACTCTAGTTTTTATAGCACAAGTTTTGCGGTACAAACGACCGCGGCTTGAATCGCTAATATCCCCGAGATTACATTCCACTAAATTTTACCATGACGTCAAGAACAGAATAACGTTCGTTCTACGATAAAAAGCAAATTCGATATTAATGTAATATCAATAATAATAAATAAATTATATTAATAATAATTAATTGTAATGTCAACTTACATTTACGCACGTTTACGTATAGCGTATATTTTAAATAATTAAAAATATGTGAAATAAAGTAAAATAATAAACCAATAAAAAAAATAAAGAATGGACTGGTAAAAATTTATTAAAACGCGCTTTTAAAAAAAATCTCACTAATACAAGTTTACTAACTGCAGGTAGAAGTAAAATTTCACAAAAGTGAATAATAAACATGAATGTAATCGGGTGGAGCGTCATAACGTGATTAAGCTAATTACTTTAATTAAAAAAATGTCACAAAGTTTTTAACAAGCAATTAGTGAAGAAACAATGTGAAAGTAAGACAATGTGGATTTCTCCCGGGCAAATTTCAAAGCGATATTCAAACTGAAGATATCGCATCCACTAACGACAAAAAGTAATCGGAATAATTGAACGATGCGTTTCATTTTATAGTATAAAATCTTAGGTACCGAAATTTCACATAAGGATCCGACAAACCGTCTATGTCCATCGGCAGCAAATTCTTTGCCTCGACGAGCACAATCGTCACCACCGAACTCCATATCTGCGATTTCAATCGTCTATTCACGTCCGCCAATCGATTAGTCTTCTGGAAATACTGCAATGTGGAAAAATGGGACGCTAAATAAAATTATCGCCGGGAAGGCTAGTGTAGAATTTGTGCTACAATATAATTATTGCATACTGAAGACAACAAGTGCGTCAACTAACAGAGTTAAACGATTAGGTCCTTTTATTGCTAAAGTTTTAGGCCCGTGTTCTGAATCCTCGTTTA